CTCAGGAGGGGCGAGGTGCGGCGGAGGCCAGGGAGGGGAGGGAGGCCCGGGAGAGGGACCTGGAGTGGGACGGGGGCGGGGGCTCGGGAGGTGGAAGGGCTGGGGGCAGTGGCCGTGGTGCGGGCAGGTGAGGAAAGGGAAGGGTGAGGGATGGGGGTCTGGCAGAATGGGGGTCTGGGAGAAACTGCGAGGGGGCAGATGGGAATGAGGCCTAAAAGGGGCAGCGACCCTGGGGAAGGTCACCCGCCAGGCAGGACTAGAGGGCCCGGGGCCTGGTGCGAGGCGGGTGTGAGGGGGAGGCCTGCCCGAGCTTGTCCCGCCCTCTCAGATTTCAAGTAGATCCCTCTGGACCTGGGTTGGCCTGTCCCCCTTAGCAGCGCCCCCTCTGCTCCTGGCAGCCTTAGCCCCCCCACCCAGATGAGGTGGGCGGAGAGGACTCTATCTCAGGCCTGCACAGCACCTGCCCAGGAGCGCCGTAAATGTCTGTTGAGTTGCACTGAGCCTGGCAAGGACTGCTACCCGCTGAGATGCAGCTCCCGTGCCCTCTGAGGAGGACGCAAAGTCACCAGTGGGCTTTCTTTGCCTCGGCTCCGCAGACTGAGAGCTGGGGCAGGTGTCCAGGGTGTGCATTCTTTCAGTTATTTGGTACCTATGTAGTGATCACCTGCTATGTGCTAGGTACTGTTTTAGATGCTGGGAATACAGTGTAGAACTAAACAGACAAAATGTCTGCCTTGGTAGAGCTTTCACTGCAGTCAGGGAAATAAATAAGCAAAATAAAGTAGTAAGTTAGAAAGTAAAGATGGCTGCTTGAAGAAACAGAGCAGGGCCAAGTGAGGAGAATAAAGAGTTGGGGGCAAGGGGTGTGGAAGATGTTGCAGTTTTCAATGGGATGTTAGCAATGGCCTCATGGAAGTGACATCTGATGAAGACTCAAAGAGGGTGAGAGAGAGAGCCATGAGGATATCTCGGGGGGAAGAGCATTCTTGGCAGAGGAAACAGCAGTGCAAAGGCCCTGGGGTGAGAGCATATTTGGTGAGTTGGAGAGAGACCAAAGAGACCAGTGTGGCTGGAGTGGAGTGAGGGAGGCGAGGTGAAGCAGGAGAGCTCAGAGGGAGGAGGAGGCATTTCAGTCCTTGGCGGGCCTTGTGGGCCATTATGAAGACCTTGGCTTTGACTCTGGTGAAGTGGGAGGTCCGTGCAGGACTTTCTGACCTCTGTTTTAGGACTCTGACCAGCTGCTGTGCTGAGAACACTGCCAGTAGTTCAGGAGAGAGATGGTTGTGGGTACACCAGGGTGATAGCTGGGGGCTGGGCTGAGGATGTTGGATTCCGGACACTGCATTTGAGGAGAGAGCTGACCCTCTGGAATGCCAGGGGTGAGGAAGCACTGTCATCATCCGCATCGCCCCTTCCGGGTGCCTCACGCCAGCTTTCCAAGTGCTTCACACAGGTTTGTCCGTCTCTTATCTCCTCAGCAGCCCCGGAAGAACAGACCTTGTGGACGGCACTTCACCACGAGGAAGCTGAACTGAGACATTGGATGTGAGGAGGGAAGGTTAGGAGATAACTTCAGCCATGACCAGCATAACCTTCAGGCACCCCCAAGGACCTATGTCGAAGGTGGACCTGAAAGGTCTCAGATGCTGGGGACAGCCCCAGGAAAGGGCTGTGTTAAAGTTTTAGCAGGGGACCCTTTAGCGCCTGTTCCCTTTGGTTGCACCAAGAGGGAAGAGGAAGAAGAAGAGAAGGAATCTCCGCAGATCTCCACACCTCCCCCTCAGACCCTCGTGTTCTCCTCTCAGCTCTAGGATGGAGACCTGTCTCTCCAGACGTTTGCCTGGAATGTTCGCTCCCCTCTGGTCCAGGAGGGACGTTGCTGCGCATTCTTGGAGACCCAGGCCAAGGAGCCCTGCTCCACGGCTGACTGGTCCTGTGTAAGCCCACAGCAGTGCTGCCTCCCTCTGTGACAGGGCTTTGTAGGGACGAGTGTTCGGACCTGCCTCAGCTGCCATACTGTAATGTGAACAATCGCTGTTCCATCTGTGCCCCCCGCCCCCCGCAGCTAGTAGTTTCCAAGACAAGCCCTATGTCTTCATGAGCCTGAACCCTAACTCTGCAGGGGCTGCCTGGACAGTGGCATTTAACCTCTCCATCCCTCACGTGCTTACAGCTCCTCAGGTAGAATACCTACTCCCCCCTCCCCCCCATAGAGCTGGTTGAGAATTTAGTGAGAAAATACAAGCAAAGCACTTAACATCGTGCCGGTACACCGTAAGAACCCAAAAACCGTGAGCTGTCATTCTGCATCTCCGTCCGCCTTGTACCCACAATGTAGGAGCTCGAATGAAAGAGTGAACCAATGAGGCGGGAGGTCTTCAAGGTGTGTAATCAGCCTGCAGGTGTTCTCCTTTAGGACTTCACAGAACAATCAGTATTTGTGACGACGATGTCTGAGGCTTCCACCTTCACCAGGCCACCCTGGGAGTGGCAGACACCCAACAGAGTACTCACGGCCATTTGCTTGAGGTCTGAGGTCACTGGGGTAGAGGGCTCAGGAGCAGATGCCAACAAACATTGTCAGCCTGACCTGCCCAGAGAAAAACCCTGCTGGGCCATCACTGTGCAGAGCCCCAGAGGGGCCCCAGGTCTCTGGACTCCGTGTTACCTCTGTGATGTTTTGGTCCTCACCCACTGCCCGAGCTGCTCTGCCATGGCGACCCTGGGGGCATGCAAGCATTGGCATGTGGAGAAGTTCCCCAGGCTGTTTTCCAGGTAAGTTTACCTGCAGGTGGCGCTCAGGGAAATTCAGGAGTAGGAAGTCATTGGTGCTACGAATAGTAATTAAGCCAACATCTTTTTTCCAGGCACTGGTATTACAGGTTTCACAAGGATGGGAGAAATCACAGCCTGTAGGCCAAACCCAGCCCTGAGGCCTGGCGATGGCCAGAGGAAAGAAGCGAAGTGGAAGATGGCTCAGGAAGTATGACTCCTGGCTAATCCCTCCAGCAAATCTGGCTTCCCAGGAGCAGTGGGGACAGGCTCAGGGCTCAGAGCAAAGGTCAGTGCAAATGGAGGTGCCTCTGTGGCCTGTAACCTCCCACAGCAGGGGCTGCTTCCCCCTGAAAGCCTGGGTCCCCTTTACAACTAGAATAGGGGATGAGGTGAGTAAGCGGGTCAGGGGCTTGAGAGAGGTCTGGGCTGGGGTGGGGTGGGGGAAGCTCCAGGAGAAGGCGAGAGGAGGGGCGGGGGCCCTTGCCCTTTACCTCCCTCAGGCAGGAAGGCTCTTCCACAGATATCCCTGTGGTCCCCCTCCCTTCCTCATGTCTCTGTCCCAAGTCACCTCTGTCCCAAGGTCACCTCCTCAGGGAGGCCTTCCCCAACCACCTTACCCAAACTCACTCCCTGCCATTCCCTTCACTCCCTATCCTTTGGCTCTGCTGTCGTTTTTGCTTTCTTTCTTCTTGATTTCTAGGTATTAATTCAGTGTTCATTGCCAGTCTCCCCTCACTCAAATGTAAGCTCCATGAAGGCAGAGCGTTTTGTGGGATTTTATTCCCTGCTGCATCCCCAGCACTGAGTATGGCGCCTGGCACATAGCAGGTGCTCCACAGATACTTGCTGAATGGATGAATGAGTAGAAGGAAGGTGGTGGGGCTGCACTGGATGGGTGTACCCGAGGCCTGGGCATCCCGGGGGACAGGCCCACAGAAGTGGGAGGCAGCTTGCTGAAGCCGGTGGGTCAGGCTGAAGGGGGAGATGGAGATCCCGAAGGAGCAAAGGACAATGGCTTCAGCGTGCTGACAGAACGATCAGTTCGAAGGTTTGGTTTGTGCCGGGCGGCAGCCCTGTCATCTGGCGGCCTGCACCCCGGGAGGCATGAGCCATGAGCAGCCATGCCCGGGAGGAGCCTGGAAGGCATGCCAGAGCCTGCAGGCCTGGGGCTTGAGTAATAACCGCTGCTCTGCCTGGGGAGGGTTTGTAATTATGAAATATTTAAGACATACAAAACATATAATCAGGAGGCCTCTGTGTAACAAAATAATGAAATGAATACCAGGGCACCGACTGACGATCCCAGAGTTAACCACCATCTTGCTCTTTGTGCTTATTATCCCCTGGCTTTGTTTCGTAAGCAGCTTCCCGCTGCCCCTTGTGCTGTGAGTACTGTATGTGGCCCCAGCGTATGGCGTCGTTTGGTTTCACGCTCTGTAAAGATGGTGTCATGTTCCGTAACTTGCTTTTCCACTCATTGTGTTCTGGGATTTGTCCTTGTTGTGGCCTTTGTTGAAGGCTGTGGTTCCTCCCTTTTCTCTGGTGTGTCATACTCTGCGGTGTGCTGGTAACGCCCGGGCCGGCCTCCGTGTAGCATATACCTCCAGCGCCCACACTTTGATGGACAAGGCCGCTGTTGAAAAGCTGCATCTGTCCTGTTGTGATGAGTTCCTGAGGATGACTCAAGATGGCTCTATGCCCCTCCCCCTTGAAGTGTCCTAAGGGCCCCCTGAGTTTCCTCCCAAAGGCCACCTGCTGCTGCCTGGAGCCATGGTTCCCACTGTAGGGACGAACCAGTGGGAATCTTGCTGGGCAGCCCCACTGCAGACACCGAAGCAGGTGTGCCTAGTGTACCATCTGTCGCCATCTGACAGGGCTAGACAGGTCGCCAGAGGTGGGAGGCCAGCTGGCGGCTCAAGGAGGGCCTGGGCCTGGCATGACCTG